GGAGGATAACTAGCTTTATACCTGCCAAGGTTGGATGCGACCAAGCGACAGGGAGAGAGGCACCGAAACCGTGAAGACTTTGACTCGATCTCCGAACGACCGTAGAACCACAACCGGAGCTAATCCACACAAGGCGGGGCAGCCTGCTGGAACCCACAAAACACGAACTAGTGGATCCTAGAGGAATCTCTTCACAGGTCCAGGAAGAACAAGGGTTTGAGTAAGCACTCGGCAGCTCGGCTGCAATATTACTTGAATTATCAAATCATAAAAAAGTCCTTTTCTAGTAGCCTAGAGGTAAAATTTATACTATGAGAAGTCTCTAAGATAGATGTGAACTGAAGAAGCCATGTTGGGAGGTGGAAGATCAATGCACGAGGTGGTCTTCAGTTTCCGCGTGTCTTCTGGGCTTCTGGGTAGTCTTTAATGTTTTAGTCATAACTCCTTCCTAGAAAGTCCAAATGACAAACCGTTGGATGCGTTGGAAAGCTAACTTCATCATCTTTCCAACCATGTATGCTATGCACCACGAATTATTATAGAATGGTATAGTTTTTGCACGGGATCTTTAGCTTCATGCAGACTATTGAACTTCGGAGCAGTCTTCACTAAAACTGGTCGGACGCCACGCTGGACACTCCAAACTGGTCAGCATGACAGCATTGGAAACTAGGCTTCAAGATCTCTCCAACAAGTACTCATTCACCTTCATAGCCTTTGGGAGACAAAAGATATGACTGTTTCTTCTGGATGGTTCTGTCATGCTGGGTTGACTCGAACGTAGCTCTTATCTCTGATCCATCCTTGATGTATCCTTGTCTTCCTTCTCGGAGAACCTGAGTAATAACAACATGCACGACTTAGGTAGCTTGAAATTACCATCAATGTTTAATTGAAACTCACAAAGTAGAGCGTGCACCTCTTGCTGTATCTTTTGGGCGCGGCTACGGGTGATTGGTCCAGTAAGGACTTGGAGTGGTGTATCAGCTGGTGAGGTGGTCGGAGAGGTTGCCGAGGTCGGTGAAGTGGTCGGAGAGATCGCCGAGGTGGTCGGAGAGGTCGCCGAGGTGGTCGGAGAGGTCGCCGAGGTCGGTGAAGCGGTCGGAGAGATCGTCGAGGTGGTCAGAGATGTCGCCGAGGTCCCCGACGCTGACGTGGTCACATCAACCGCCCTATTTTTTCCAGAGAGGGCCGGTTTTGGGGACTTGGCTAGGATGGTCACCACCTCCCCTAGGGCGGTGCCACCACCATGCCATGTTCGGTGACCAATGGCTAGTTTTCTACTAGCCGTTGGGAAGTGACCGCCATGTCTGGTGCCCCCGTGAAAATAGCTCTAAGGGGTATAACGACTCTTTTTGCTTGTGTGGCTATAAATAGAGGGTGTGGCCGGCCTTGGCCACTCTCTTGGCACCTCATACACTTGTGCACACCCTTTGGAAGTTGAGCAACACACTCCACTCACTTGTTCACTTGATTTCATCATTTTGAGTGAGATTGGAGAGCCTCTAGTGCATTGCATTGAGTTGCATCATCTTATGTCACTAGTTGGGTGATTTGGGCTGGTTGTGAGTTTATTACTCTTGGTGTTTGCTGACACCTAGATGGCCCGATGATTGGAGGATCATTGAACGGAGTTGGTGATTGTCTATGGCCTCAATCGGTTGCTTGTGAGGGGGTCTTGTGCCTTTCCCGGTGGAGCGCCAAAGGCAACTCTAGTAAATTGCTCATGTCATTGAGCTATCTCCCTTGTGGGTAGGTTCTTGCAGTATCCAATTGTGTGGACGAGGTTCATGGAACACCTCTTAGCCACCGAACCACAAAGTGTTGGTTGACACAACGGGGACTAGCGTGCCAGGAAGCACGTGAACCTCGGGAGAAAAATTACTTGTCTCTTGCCATTAGCATTCTCCTGGTGATTGTATTGGTGATCATATTATGATTGGTTCATCCCTCTACATGGTGTTATAAACATCCCACTCTTTTCTTTACTTACTTGCAAAGTAGTTGTAACAAGCTCTTTAGTGTAACTAGTTTTGAGAGCTTGTTTGCTTGCTAGTTTAGTATCACCTAGTGAGCTCTTTAGTGTAGACTTGTTGAGAGCTCTTAGTCAGTAGTGACAGAGCCATTGTTTGTGCCTAGTGATCATATCAACTAGAATTATTGGATAGGTGGCTTGCAACCCTTGTAGAGCTAGAGCAAAATTACATTTCGCCATTTAGTGTACTAACCTCTTACTCTAGTGTATTTGTTGAATTTTTTATAGGCTATTCACCCCCTCTAGTCATTTAGGACCTTTCAAGTGGTATCGGAGCTATGGTCATCGTTTGTTTCAAGGCTTAACAACCTTCGGTGTAAAATATGGCTCAAATTGTGTTCAATCATGTTGGGGGTAAACCACCGTTCTTTAATGGCACATCTTTTGATTATTGAAAGAGAAAGAGGAAGATGTACCTTGGTTCAATCAATGACAAGGTGTGGGATGTGGTAGAGAATGAGTTTGTGATCATTGACCCTACCAATCTCACCAACAATGACAAGATCAACAAGCAATGCAATACAATAGCACTCAACACAATATACAATGGCATCAATTCAAAGGCTATTTTTCCAGAGAGGCCGATTTCGGGGACTTGGCTAGGATGGTCACCTCCACCCCTAGGGCGGTGCCACCACCATGCCATGTCTTTTCTAGCCGTTGGAAAGTGACCGTTGGGGCACCACCACCCTAGGGGCGGTGTGCCACTGCCATGTCTGGTGCCCCCGCGCAGACAACTCCAAGGGGTATAACGGCTCTTTTTGCTTGTGTGGCTATAAATAGAGGGTGTGGCCGGCCTTGGCCACTCTCTTGGCACCTCATACACTTGTGCACACCCTTTGGAAGCTGAGCAACACACTCCACTCACTTGTTCACTTGATTTCATCATCCTGAGTGAGATTGGAGAGCCTCTGGTACATTGCATTGAGTTGCATCATCTTATGGCACTAGTTGGGTGATTTGGCTGGTTGTGAGCTTATTAGTCTTGGTGTTTGCCGACATCTAGATGGCCCGATGATTGGAGGAAAGTTGAGCGGAGTTGGTGATTGTCTCCGGCCTCGATCGGTTGTTTGTGAGGGGTCTTGTGCCTTTCCCGGCGGAGCGCCAAAGGCAACTCTAGTAAATTGCTCATGTCATTGAGCTATCACACTTGTGGGTAGGTTTTTGTGGTGTCCAATTGTATGGACAAGGTTTGAGCAACACATCTTAGCCGCCGAACCACCAAGTGTTGGTCGACACAACGGGGACTAGCGTGCCGACAAGCACGTGAACCTCGAGAGAAAAATCGCTTGTCTCTTGCCATTGGCATTCTCCCGGTGATTGTATTGGTGATCATATTGTGATTGGTTCATCCCTCTACATGGCGGTATAAACATCCCACTCTTTTCTTTATTTACTTGCAAAGTAGTTGTAACAAGCTCTTTAGTATAACTAGTTTTGAGAGCTTGCTTGCTTGCTGGTTTAGTATCACCTAGTGGAGCTCTTTAATGTAGACTTGTTGAGAGCTCTTAGTGAGTAGTGACATAGTCATTGTTTGTGTCTAGTGATCATACCAATTAGAATTGTTGAATAGGTGAACCCTTGTAGAGTTAGAGCAAAATTGTATTTCGTCATTTAGTGTACTAACCTCTTGCTCTAGTGTATTTGTAGAAATTTTTATAGGCTATTCACCCCACTCTAGTCATTTAGGACCTTTCAGCGCGCTCTCCGCCGGCGCCAGCGCTATCGCCACTACTTGTTGATTACAATATCACAAGTTCTATGTGGAGTGTGAGAACAGTTCACTTTACCTTCATGATTTCCTGGGACCACAAATTTCGCTGAGCTTTATATACTCCCTGTTAAAGCGCCTTTTGGTTTTCTATGTTAAGTTTTCTATAGTGATTTGCAATAAGGTGCTAGCTATATGTATGAGCATTCAGATCTGGAAAGTAACTGTAACCTGTCAGAAGTTGCACTTTAGCATTTGGACACAAGAAATGCAGAGTTCTTCCATTCATTTTGGTGAAAGCTAAAATCTTTACAGCAGGATAAATTATGTACATTTATAAATATTGCTAACTGGAAGGCAAGATGCTAAGTTCATCATTGCTGATTTGTTAATTTCTTTTTCTAACTCCTCTCATAATTCATAGATAATTTTTTAATTTCAATCTTATTTTCCTTGGTCAACCACATTTGGTAGAGTTGGCTCTATAGTATTGGCAATTCATGATGCAAGTGACGTTTTCCTGGAAGTAGGGAAGATTGAAAAGTGCCAGAGTATAGAGTTTGTCATTTTTATCTTTGTTTCAGTAAGTTCCACTCATGTAGCTGTTTATGTAGTTAAATTGTTAAATTAAGTGATTGTTAAGAAGATCCCCTAAAGATAAAATAGAACCCTAATTTGCTTCTATCAAGAATTGTTGAATCCACTCTACTTATTAGTTCGCCATTTCACTTCGCATAAACCTAGTAATGTCAAGTATTTACTGTTTTTCACTTTGTATTTGCAAATTATCTAGTAATGTCAAGTTAAAAACGTTTGACTTCTCGAAAAAATGAGAATGACACTTATTTTGAGACGTAGCGAGTACTCTCCAAGCCTTTGGATTTCGGGTAGAACTGAACAAGGCCTTTAACGTGTACTTTTCCTCTCTTTTCCGTTTTGCCTCCAACAAGATGGCTTGTCGACGTGAACAACAAGCGCATCCTCTAATACAGAAGTACCAGCTATAGCAAATCCCAATCCTCCTGAAAAAACGAATATTTTTTTTCTAAATAAAAAAAAATCTAGCAGCCCTCAACGATTAATAAAGTGAAAAAAAAATCATTGGTAGTTGTCTACCAAAGCAAAACATCTCAAGGATGTCTATCTCAATCCATACGTATTAGAGTGGATTAGAGTGAAACTTAACCTAATTTTCACTCCAATCCCCTTCGTCACGTATGGATGAAGATGAACGCATGTGTATGCAAACAAGTTCTAAGAGGACTGATAATAGCTCGTGGCGTTGAAGTTGATAGAATCGACGATCCTGATGATCTGCTCCAGCGCGCTCTTGTCGTTGAGCATGCCGGAGTGCGACACCCTGGGCAGCTCCACCACCTCGACGACCTGCGTGGGCGAGTCGGACCACGCCTTGATCGGGCCCACAAGGCTGGCCAGGTTCACCGTCCCGTCCCCGTCGCCGTAGACCACCTCGTCGGGGTCCTCGTCGAAGCCGCCGTCGCCGTACACGAGGCTCTCCACCGTGTCGACGCCGGTGCCCACCAGGCACGTGACGGGCACGCCGGGCTCCGGCAGGGCCTCGACGAGCGGGCGTATCCGCGCGCGGTACGGCTCCACGCCTTCCTCGAAGCCGATGTCCCGGAGGAACTGCGTCATGTTCTTGGCGGAGTAGGAGCGGTTGTGGCTCCGCGACACCACCAGCGTGGTGTTGCCGAACACCTTGGGCGTCGGCAGCAGCCACAGGTTGCTCTCGGCGGTCCGCTGCTCGTCGCGGATGAGGGACGCGTCGACGAAGGGCACCCCGAGCGTGTTGCCGGAGGCAAAGGTGAGCATCTCCTGCACCGACCCGCCCCACGGCGTGGAGAGCGTTACGAGGCGCCGCACGTGCGCCGCGCGCCACTGCGGCGGGCTGCGCGCCAGCAGCTGCAGCGCGAACAGGCCGCCCAGGCTGTGCGCCACCAGGATCGCGGGCCGCCCGCCGTTGGCCGCGCACGCCGACTCCACCAGCAGCCTGAGCCGCTGCAGGTACCCGCTGCCCACCTGCGACGGGTGCCCCGGCCCGGCCAGCCCGTACCGGAAGTCGTACGGCGCGCCGAACAGGTCGCGGCCCTCCTCGTAGCCGGCCTTCTCCTCCAGCGTGGTCGCCAGAGTGTTCATGTACCCCGTCAGGAGCCTGCACAGCACGCGTCAAAGTGTTCATCATCACGTCACGTCACGTCACCGACGCGTCAACTGTGCGAATGGGAAATGCTTATCGGAGTACTCCTACTTGAGGTTGGGGTCGAGGTAGCGGAGGGTGGAGGTGGAGCCGAAGTCGGAGACCCTGGTCTCGACGCCGGGCGCGTTGCGGTAGTCGTCGGCGTCGGCGTCGTAGGAGAGCGTCATCCGCTCGGCGAAGCACCTGGTGAGCGGCGCGACCAGCACGGAGGGGTCGAACCAGAGGCGGAACCAGCCGCCGCGGCCGCGCACGAGTGGCCACACCCGGCAAACCAGGCTGGACGGCTTGTAGTCCTCCGTCAGCCGCGCCTCCAGCTGGTTGCCGCCCGCGCCCGGGATCAGCACCACCGGGTGCCGCTGCTGCTCCGCCACAGCGCCAGCCGTCCCGGCGCCCGCCCTCGCCGCCGCCGACACGCACAAGGACGAGCTCAGCGACAGCATGACCACCATCGTCGTCGCCACTGCTGGCACGCGGGCCAGCCAAAGGCGCCTCCCCATGTCCATGCTCCGACGCTTGGATTTTTGTCTCCGGCCTTTTTGCTTTTGGATCAGGTGGTCACTGCTCTTGTAACTTGTTGTGTGGTGACGACGGTGCTCTCGGAGCCACTGACTGGCGACGCTACTTGGATCCCTTGAGGCCGCTCAAGAAGGCCCATATGAGGGAGCGGTGACGGTAGTGGTTACGTCGTCCTTGCAGCAGTGGGTAGGCAGGCACGCATCTAACCAGAGCATGCACGTTGGAATCGAGCTCGTGTCAGAGTAATTATACCGTGGTTATGTGAGGACAGCGACTAAATTCAATGCCCCTGTACCGTCACCTGTACGCGGTGCGTGTAGACTTGGAGGGCCCTGCTGTCGCCGGGTCTAGGGCGCGAGGCTGTCGCCTGTCGATCACGCGATCCCGGCGGTTGGGAAGCGTGTACCGGAGCACGAACCGGCTGCCTTTGCTCGCCGGACACGATCAGGGCGGCGGACGCGTACCGCGTACGTACGTGTGCTTTGCATATAATTGCATCAATCATCGTCGCACGGATGACGGATCCAGCGGCTCTAATCATCTGGCTCGGTCGGATCTATAGGGACGACGAGGAGATGCAGCCATGAAGGTCGTGACTCCCGCAGGTCGCTGCAGCTGATGGGACATGGCAGCTGCCTTCAGGCTGCGGCATTATTGGGGGAAGGAATGCTGATACGCTAAAGCAAACCGCTTGGATAACCGACGACGAGGACAGGGACAGGGACAGGCCTTGGGCTTGCTCGTTTTGAATCCATGCGCTTCGGATCCAGGCATTGTCGGACTGGGCCGCTACGGCTAACCTTTGTGCTGGGCTGCTGGATATGGGCCTCATCTGCTAGGCTTCCGAAGGTCGTACACAGAATCTGTACATAGTTTGGAATATTTCTCCTTCTTTTTCTTCGTTTCAAGAAAATGTTTGTTCTAGCATTTATTTGTTCGATTCTTTCTTGTTTGAAGAAAATGTACCCGTGACTCAGGAATGAACGTCTTTTGGTCTGGCCTGTACTTGAGCCATGCGCTCATGCATTTATTTGTTTTTTTAGTTATACCGTACTCGTATTAGTTGCAATATTAGGTAATTTGCACGTACAACTCTCTTTTTTGTTAAATCTTGATTAAATGTGGCTTTAAATAGCCAGCTTGCATGGTATTTTGCTTGCTGAAATGCTTGACGTGACTGCTACGTTCTCCAGGAACCGCGGTAGCAACTTGGCACTGTACATCCACATGGCTGCAATTTTTTCTTGTCTCTGCACACGGCACAGTACATTTGCACCGTATTACACAAGATGTCAAGATGTTTGTTGCGTTGCTAGTAACGAACTGGCCGGGGGGGAATCGTCAAACCCGTGTCCGTTGACCTCAACTCATGCTAGCGTAAACAAATCCCGTTTATATTTATATAATATAGCTTGATTATTCTTTCGTCAGGGTCAGGGCGACCGACTGAGTAGTGAGTACTGACCCCGTCCGCCCGTCGATCTGTGCGACTTCAAGAGTCCAGACAATGAGACAAGCTGGGCCTCCCGCTCGTCTGACTTGAACAGGCCAATGGCCAAACCAAGACCCCCAGGTCAACAACATGCCGTGCCAGCCTCGTGAGTTCAGTCACGCGCAACCAACTGGGGCACCCGGTCAGAACTCACGTACTCCCTAGCGAGTCCGTAGCCCTCCAGAGACAAGCCACTCCCCGTAGAACGAGTCGCATGTTCTCCACCTATATATAACACATCAAAGCCCCAGGTAACTGCAGGACACTCGTGTACCGTGTCACCGTGTGCACCACTTCCAAGTGCCTGCCGCCACCTCGATCGCTCCCAAGAGCACAGCTACGTACGACGTGCAAGACAGCAAGAAGCAACAACCCGTACGTACGTTTGATCCATCCCTCGAGGCCAGCAGACGACCATGGCGGCGGCGGCGACGACGCCGGCGGCGAGCAGGGGGCCGACGCGCGCGCTGGCCATCCTAGGGCGGTGCGCGCGCGCGCCGTTCCGCGTCCTGCTCCGCGCGCGGGACCTGTACGTGAGCCGGCTGGCGGCCTGCGCGGGGGGCGGCGGCCGGGGAGGCCTGGGCCCCGTGGGGCTGGTGGCGATGCCGCGGTGCCAGAGCCACGGGTTCTACCGCTCGGCGGCGGGCGGCGGCACCGACGAGGACGTGCGGGAGCTCATCAGGGCGGCCACCCGCGCCGGCCCGCCCAGGGTCGGGCCGCGGAGCCAGAGCGTGGCCATCGGCCGGATCGACGAGGACAGCCCGTGCGAGTTCGGGCTGGACCACGAGGAGAGGGCGCAGGCGCTGATGGGGCCCAGGAGCAAGAGCTGCGCCGTGGGGCCGTCGGCCAGGACGGCGGCTCGCAGTCGCAGGGCTGCTGGCATCGCGGCGGCTTAAGCTCAAGTTCAACGCCGGCCGGCGTTGCGTTGCACCCGAAAATCTGCTTGCACTGTGTACTAGTACCACAATATAAATGTGTTGTTTGGTGATCAAAAGAAACGCAAAAACAAAAATACTATACGTGACGTACACGTCCGTCTGAGGGCTCCTAATTTGGTACATATTCGGCTCTTCAGCTGTTGATCTACTGTGGTTCACTGTTCACTTATACTGCATTAGAGGCGACGAAGCCTCTAAAACTTGGGGTTTTTTTAATAACATAAAACATGGTTGTGTTCACCGCGTACCAGTGTTATTGTATACCAAGACCAAAGGGGGCCTCGGTGTCTCGCTGCCGACTGTGAACGAAAGTTGTCTGCAGTTTCCAAACGATCAGGCAAAACCCTGTCGCGTGCACGCACTACTAAAAAAGGATTCGCAATAAACGTCACCTTTTTTTAGGGCGACTCTGCATGTACTACTTAAAAAAAAAGAGTCGTAGCAACGCTACTTTTTTTTTTTTCCAGGGCAGCTCTATATTGAGTCGCTCCAACAAATGGTGGTCAAATGAACTGTCCCTACAAATTCATTTGTAATTAGCCGTCCCTATAAATGACCCGATTTATAGGGGCTGCTCAATATCCAGTCACCCCTATAAATAGACGCCGAATAATAAAAATTAAACACTAAAATTCGAATTTTTTCAAACGACATCGGATGGAGAAATAAACAAAATAAAAGTTGTAGATCTCGAAAAGTTATGAATCTTTGTTGTTTACAACTTTTTCATTTGAAATCATTTACTGCTTCAAAATGGTATTTCAAATTTAATTTCAAAATTATTGAAAAACTCTGATTTCTCTTTTTAATCTCTGGCTAAAACTTATAACTAGCCTTTCTCCCTCGTACTAACTTCAAATGTGATGTTTTTTTCTAAAATATTCTAAAATCATGATCTATCAAATTATTGTATTCTTACAGCTATTATTTTGTCCATATTTTCATATGACTGAGTTTTATCTATTTGAATTTTAAATTTCAAAAACTAGCAACTTCAAACGACATTTTAAAATATTAAATGATTTCAGCAGAAAAAGTCATAAACATAAAAGTTGTAGAACTCATCAAGATATACAACTTTTATTTTGGTCATTTCTTCATCCGGCAAAGTGGAAATAACATATGTAAAATTTGTGAACAATGTTACTACTACTATATCGGAAGAATAAATGACTAGTTATAGATCTTAGAAAGTTATAGAACTGTGTAGTTGACAACCTTTTTAATTGAATTCATTTTGTCAAAAAAAACTACGTTTGAATTTCTAAAATTTAAAATTTGAATTTTTCAAACGACCTCGAATAGGGAAACAGTCAAAATGAAAGTTGTAGATCCTAAAAAGCTATACAACTTTTTAGTTGACAACTTTTTAATTTAAAACCATCTTATCAAGGAAAAACTACGTTTGAATTTCTAAAATTTGATTTTTTTAAGTGACCTCGGATGGACAAACAACCAAAACGAAAGTTGTAGATCTCAAAAAGTTATTAAACTTTGTAGTTGATAACTTTTTTTATTTGAATTCATCTTGTCAAGAAAAACTATATTTGAATTTCTAAAATTTGAAATTCAAATTTTATAGATGACCTTAGATGGAGAAACTATAAAATAAAAATTATAGATCTCAAAAAATTATGAAACTTTGTAGTTAATAACTTTTTCATTTGAATTAGTTTAGGGCTTCAAACAATTAATTTAAACTCGGTTTAGGATAATACGTGAAGAACCAAAATCCAACATAAACATAAGTGATTGTGAGGTGCAATGGTAGAGGAGAGAATATGTGAGGGGATGTCACGTGTTTGAATCCCAGCCGACGTGAAGTCTAAAAAATCACGCAAAAAAATGATGCGGCCACAAAGCGGGTGTGGGGCCTCATTGGATTAAAAAAATTACTATTTTAGCAATTTTTTATAATTTTTTGGAAATTAATTTGTAGGGGCGCGTCAGCCGCATTCCGGGCAGGTACATTGCTCAAATGATCCCTCTTAAGTAAAAATTTAGGATCGTTATTAGATAGCTCATGCACAATTGAATTAGGTTTCATCGCCACACAGATCATAATATTTATTTGTTGTAATATGCACAAATTTAAAATTATGAACAGATAAAAACAATTTTTAAAAAACCATTGTCCTAATAAATAGTTAATCTATTAGATCACTATAGTGTCCGGTGACAAATGTATCCCAGACAATCTGATGGGTTTTCAAAACAAAAAAGTTTTCAGACCTGATGAGGAGACCTTTTTTTTAAATTAAATTGGGTAGACCCTGAGTCCACCCGATACCTGTGCACCCCCATGTTAGATGATCGACACGTGGTAGAACAGAATATCACGCGGAAACCAGCCAGCATGTGTCGGGTTCATGATGAGGACATCAACACCGATCATACATCCACGCCGTCCACGCCGACACCTGCTGGTCCTATTACTCGTGCTCGTGCTCGAAAACTTAATCATCAAGTGAGTTTCTTCTTGAGCTCTTGTCCATCCTGTTTAGATCTTGGAGACACGTGCACTCTTGTTTTGATTAGGAATCAAGGAGAAGACCGA